AGCCGGGGGGGGGGCTGCCTCCCCTGCCCTCGGTCGCAGAGCTGGGCTATCTGGGAGAATGGCTGCCCCGGCTCGCCCTGGGGTGTGGCCTGACCCTGCTCCGCTCTCGTTCTAGTGAAGTAACTGGCTTTCCTTCGCAAGCGCATGAACACCAACCCGTCCCGTGGGCCCTACCACTTCCGCGCCCCCAGCCGCATCTTCTGGCGCACGGTGCGAGGTAAGCCCCGGGGCCGTACGGGGGCGGGGGGAGCAGCTACAGGGCACCCTGGTGGCACCCATGACTCATTCCTTATAGTCTGATGGGGGAGGGGGCCCAGAGCTCCCTTCCATGGAGCCTGGGGGGCAGAGCCCCACAGTGCGGGGTGCCCCGGCCTGCTCCCAGCAGCTGCTGTTCCTTGCAGGGATGCTTCCCCACAAGACCAAGCGAGGCCAGGCTGCCTTGGAGAGGCTGAAAGTCTTTGATGGGATCCCACCGCCGTACGACAAGGTAAGGGGGCCCTGGGGGCCGTGTGGGGAATGGTGGGTCTTTTGTCTATGATGCTCTATCTACCTACATTGTTTGATGCTGGGTGAGAAAAACCTGTACCCTGAGACACCCCAGCCCTGCTCCTCTTCCCCCCACCCCCGTTTCCATCCCCCTAACGCACTCCTCTCTCCTGCCTGCACAGAGGAAACGGATGGTGGTGCCCGCTGCTCTGAAAGTCGTACGCCTGAAGCCAACACGCAAGGTACGTCCCTCCCAGAGCCCCTTTCCGCACCGGAAGGGGCAGGAAGTTGGATTCTGACAGACGGCTGTGCTGTCATGAGGCAGGTAGTTCCACAGCTTGAACAAAGGACTCTTCAAAGGCAAAACTTAGGTGTCATTAACCCGTGGGACTAACTGCCAATGGTAGCAGGCCATGGCCAACTCCAAGGCAGTAAATTCATTTGCCAGTTGCGTTAACCAGGGGAACTGCCTGCCACATGATACTGGTGCTTAGTTTGTCAGAGGTTCATTAGGCAGCAGGGTGTTAACCTATGGAGCTTATTGCTGCGTGATGCCTTGGACTGATGTCACATGGCAGCTAGTGACCAAGCCAAGGAACCACCTTGTATAGTCTGTGTTCAGTGCAAGTTGCCTGATGGTTCCTGTGCTGTCGGTCCAGCGATGCCCTGGCCATGCCTGCCAGTGGCCGTACTGTACCCTGTGTTGGCAATTGGCACCTCGGGCGGTCTGTGATGATGCTAATTTACTTGTTTTCGAGTCTCACGACCATGAGACAGCATCCTACATGCACTACCATCTGAGACCACCATGGGGCGCTGCACGACCTGGCTCGCCTTGGATCCCATGGGAAGGGGGTTGGGGGGCGGGACTGGGGAGCTCGGTTGGATCCCTGGCTCTGGGAGAGGGAGTGGAGGCTGGTGGGTAGGGCTGGGAGCCAGGACTCCTCAGGTCTGTCCTGACCGGTCTCCCCCCTCCCCCCGCAGTTCGCCTTTTTGGGACGCTTGGCCCATGAGGTGGGCTGGAAATACCAGGCCATCACCGCCACGCTGGAGGAGAAACGCAAGGAGAAATCCAAGCTGCATTACAACAAGAAGAAGAAGCTGATGGTGAGCAATCCTGGATGTCGTTGGGCCTTGCACGGCCCCCGTGGGGGAGCTGCCAGCAGGAGGGGGGGAGGTATAACCAGCTCCGTGCACCGCCCCTGAAGCGGCCGCATCTGCCCGCTGGCTATGGGCTTCCTGCATGAGCAGCCCTCATGCCCTGCCCCAGAGGAGTTCTCGCCATTGGGTGAGAGGTCCCCCAGATCCTCAGCCCTGGAACCCCACCCCAGAGGTGGCTGCATCCTTCGTTCCCTGCCATCTGCCTGTAGAGCTTATTTCAGTGGGGTCGGGGTGCACTGCAGTCGGTCAAACAGAAGCTCTGTGTCCCCCTCCCTGGTGTGTGTGGTGGGGGGAGGCTGGGCGTGCAGAGCATGGCCCATACAAAGCGTCCCGGGGCCCTGGTAGGCCAGCCCCAAGCTGGTGCTGGACTGGGTGGAACTGCCCCTGTGCACCCTCCCTCCCCCATCTGAGCTAGGGATGTAAAATCCTGGTTCATTGGCTAACAGGTTTAACTGGTTAATCGATTTAATTGGGATGGGGGAGCCCTGTGCACTTCAGGCTGGCTTCTGGGCCTCTTCCCCCTTCCCTCCCCCCTGTACACACGGGCTGCTCTAGGGTGACCAGTTCACCTTCAGACTAGGGATAGGGACGGGTGAGTGTGTGGGGCAGGGCTGAGCATTCTAATCAGGCCATATCCAGTGTGAGGCCAGGGCCCTGTTACTAGGGATGTCCCCTGAATCTTGGTCTGACGCCTCCGCCTGGGCGTGTCTTGCAGAAACTGCAGAAGCAGGCAGAGAAGAACGTGGAAGGCAAGATCGCCCGCTACACGGCCGTGCTGAAGCAGTACGGTGTCTTGGTCTGAGCCTGTGACCTCAATAAAACTAGTCCCCTCGACTTCCACCCAAACCCTCTCTGTGTCTCGGGGCCCGGCTTTTATTTCTAACTGCCGTCTCTAGCCTTGGATCCCCTCCCGCTTCCAGCTGCTCTGGTTTTCAGGAGGGCTGCAGGTCTCGGGGGGCATGTGCCTTCCCCTTCCTGCCCTGGCAGCCCCAGGCACTGTGGGTTTGAGAGTGCTGCAGGGGCGTGTTCAAGGCCATCTCCCCTGTGGGGCCGTAACTCCAGTGCACTGGGCACTTCCCTGCAGGCGAACCACCTTGAGCACTCACCAGCCGTGAGCTGAGGAGACAGCCGCCATGCCGCGGCTGTGAGCTGAGGAGACAGCAGCTATGCAGCAGCTTGGGCCTATCTTGTTATAGCTCCTTGGCCTGGCTCGTCTGACCTCCTGTGTGACAGGGCCCTGGGGCTGCCTGCAGTGGGCCTGTACAGGGACTGCTGGGGGGTGGCTCCTGTGCCCCTTCTCTTCTGCACACCCCCCCAACACTTTTCCACTCAGAATTTGTCTTCATCAGCTGGGGACTGGCAGCGGGGGAGTCCCCTGTGGAAATTTTTGATGTAATGTGGATGCTGCTCTCTCCTCTCCTCACCCCCCACCCCTGCCCTGGGCTTAGCTCCACCCCAGGCCTGACACCTCACTGTCAGGCCGGTTTTCTGAGCCTTGCCTCATCCCTGCTCGGATACGTCGTTCCCAGGCGTTCCCTTGGCTGGGGAGTTCAGTGTGGGCTGGCTCTCCCCTCTGCCCCTTCCCTGCTACTCCCCCCTACCGCTCCTCTGCTCAGCTGG